AAAAATCAACGAACTATTTTTCCGGTGCGCGCTTGCTCAAAATTCGCATGGCCGCCTGCCCCCGGCGGTTATCTGAGAGAGTGTGACAGCCTCAGGCACTTAAAAAATGAAACAAAGCCGGAGGGGGAACTGAGCTAGCATTAATCTCAGACCATTCCACACAGGCAAATTAGAAATCACCAAGAAAAATGATGCTCTTATTATCTGTGGAGGCTGCCAAAATTTCAAAATTTGATAAGCTAATGGAAGTCTGATCGTGTAATTGATAAATGAGCACAAACCTAGCCTTATCAGAAACATAAACAATCAAATCAAAAACGCGTAGCTTATAGAAAATGTCTTACATCAACATCGAAACGAAACATCATATTGGACTAGTGTGCACACACATCCCCTACCCTTTTACTTTCCAATCGCTACGTAGAATATTGTACGTTAGGTCATTTCTTCATCAATGGCATTGCTATTAAGCCAAAACTAAGTGAAAAAGAAAACAAATGCTAACTTATAAGAATGAAAGAAACGATAAATTCTACAAGGAGGCTGTTTACTAAACTTCCTGCATTAAGGAGAAAACAGATTCAGGATTATCTAAGAAAAATTAATTTTTTAGAGACCGATGCCTTGAGACTGATATGAGTGGCCTTACAACCTGGCCCTGTAAACTACAAAGACCTTGCCGCCGCCATGCTCTTTATTGTTGAGATCACGTGCCTGCTGTCGTAGTGCTCGGACATAATCTCTCTCTTCACAGGTCAGGAATCTCCGAAGGAAGATTTGCTCGGGCTTGCTTCGCAGCAGAGGCGCTTTTTTAAAAGCAGTTAAATGAAATTGTAGAGAAGGAAACACGCATTGATCGGTCGCGCATTTGATCACTTTTTGGTCTTTTGCATTGTGTTCATTATCTGCGGAAGATTCTGTGAAAAGAGTTGTGAGCGATAAGCAGCATGTTTCGTTCAGCGCGTTTTACAAGAGTACGAATGAAGTCGATAGCTGCTAAATGCGGCAAATGGCATGGTGCAGGATTCATATCCACGAAAGTCCATAACGGGGAAAATGAACTTTTCAACTCCATTTTATTCGTTCGCGACAAAAATGGCCAGAATCTGCCATCGCGTTGTCCAAAGACTTTTTTTTTCATGTGTAATGACAAAGCGATGTAATAAAAATGCACATGCTACTCTCTATGAATCTCGGCATGGTGTTGATATAGTAATGGTTGTTTCGAACCTTGTTCCGAGATTGTCAATAATTTATTGACTGACGTTTCGGCGAGTCGCCTTCTTCAGAGTTTGGGATGGACAGCACGACTTGCATATTCGACAACCAAACGTCTCTGCAGCCATGCAAACAGAACTCTATATTTGGTGGATCAGTATTTAGCTGCCTAAAACAGCTGTCACTCATTTTTATAAAGCCGACAGATTTCTATTGTCAGAGCCAGAACGAGTTTGGTTGAACGCATATGCCACGGTTATTTATCGTTAAGTGCCTTCATGCTTTTCTATACGAACACATAGCGGCCGCGCTGTCTCGCCTATGCACTTGTCACCGCAGCTCGCGCAGGTGATAATATAGGCGATTCCCGTCGTTATGCAAATCCCGCCCCTGCGCCAGGGCAGATGATACAATTAGCCATAGCGCAGTCGCGATCATACATACAACTGCGCAGTAAAATGCTCTCAAGATTATTTAAGGGGTATTGTTACTATTGTAACTGTATCTTCTAACCCGCACTTCTCCAGACACTGTCGAAATACAATGCTTATTTCATCAGAAATATAGGGGATGCAAAAAAGATTTTCACTTGCGCTCGTTCTGTCTAGCTGAGTACTGCGATTTTCACCTATTCTTGCTCTTCGATTTTCATATCCTTATAGGCAGCGATTTTCCGCGCGAGCTCAAGTGATTCCGCCTTCTCTTGTTGTCCACAACAAACATGAAGGGCTGTACGGAACATAATTCAAATAACTGCCTCCTTTGTTTAACGTGGATGAGCTAAAATGGACAAGAATGTTTTTGTTACTAGGCTTGCGATACCATTTTGTGACGTGCGCGCCTAAGGACATAACAATCTGCACATTCAAAAATGCAACCAGTCCGCTGGGTCTTTTCCTGGTAAGCTTAATGCATGCAGATTGTTCGCTAAGCTTGTCAACTTCTGCTTGAGTTGAGCAAATTATGAAACAATCGTCTATGTATAAATTTGCAATACAGTAATGGGCGGCATTCCGGGATTGGCGCCCATTATTGAATAATGGGATAATGATAATGATTCAACCCTACCTGAGCTCTTGATTGCGAAGGGATCATGCGAAATTTACTACTTACAATAACGGGCTAAGGAAGTTTATGTGACTTAGTGTGTGTGTGCTCCGTATGTATGCCGTGTGTATGCCGTGTGTGTGTGCCTTGTGTGTGTGCCGTATGTGTGCCGTATGTGTGCCATGTGTGTGCCGTGTGTGTGATTGAAACATTTTTGAAGTAAAGTATAGGTACAGTTAGCGCAAAGGGTAAATGGTGCTCGTAAAGTTATAAACTGCGTTATTTGTCATGACATACGTTTTGTAACTGTAATTCAAACACTGGAGATTGATGTGCAAATCTCAGATCAAGTTACAATGCAAAGAAGGTACTTGTTGTCCTATTTTTTTGATTCTGTGTATTTGAAAATACTCTTATAAACAGCCTAAAAGCAGTTAGTACCCAAAACACAGCATCAACATAGCAAATCAATGTCGGACATATTGAAATTCTGAAAACGTACCACTTATTGGCATTGGTAGGAGGTTGCACGAAACTTACATCCTTTAGGGAGAGGAAGTATCATACCAACATAACAAAAGTTCAGCCATGCATCTTAGTGTTTCTCAAAAATCAAAATCCAGCTTTATCTAGGGGGTCAGAGTGCCTATAGGTGCAAGCTAGCTGGTTAGAGCAAAAAAATGAAGTAATACATTTTTGAAAGTACATTAAGTTATATAAGAAAAGGGATTCACTAGGCAATTACTTACACTTTACCAAATTTGTTCTGTTGGGAAGAAGGCTTCATATGTCACTAACCAGGGATGTTACGTGACTTAGAGACGCGTCAGATGAAACACACATATTTGGAATCAGCTTCGAACGCTGTTTCCAAATATGCTGTTTCTAGCTGCGGTACGCCATTCCGAAGCGAGTTATTGATTTTTTATGTGCGGATTTGGCGTATCACTTGACATGGAAAGAATGCCTACAAATCGATATTGCCCGAAAAATGTTGCGCCATCAAAAACAGATCATATCCCGTTGTCGACAGAAAAACTTCACAGTGTATTAACACTCAAGTGTTATTGTAGTACAATAGTCGCGCATGAAAAACTCGTGTGTGTGTGTGTGTGTGTGTGTGTGTGTGTGTGTGTGTGTGTGTGTGTGTGTGTGTGTGTGTGTGTGTGTGTGTGTGTGTGTGTGTGTGCCGTATGTGTGGTCGAAACATTTTTGAAGTAAGGTATACTTACAATCAGCGACAAACAATTCTTGAGGGAGGGCGGAACATCGCAAGAAATCAATGAACGCCGAGAAAGACGTTTGTCTACCAATCATGTACTGCAGTGTGCATCAATTTACAAGTTTACAGCTACACTTGACTTACTGACTGACTTTCCGTTTATGTTCGTTGGTTTTACTTCCTTGCTGCTAGCATGGGTTTGGTTAGGCTGGAATTGTTTTAAAAGTTTGTGAGCGCTGCCACTTTTACATTAGGTCCGGATTGGCGAGAAACGGGAAACTCTAAACGATTTAAGCCACATCTAACGATAAGGAATATGTGCTACGTTCGGACCTCTGCACAACGCGAGTATACGCAAAAACGTCATTTAAATGAACATCCACCAACAAGCGTGGTTGGCAAAACACTAAACTACTGAATCTCAACATGCCCAGCTCCAAAGACAACATATCCTTTGATTCACTGTGAGCTGTTCAAAACTGCGAATGATCAGTAGCGGAATCACACGGTACTACCATCATTTATTCATTGCACTTTCGTACAATAAACAAGTCTGTAGTGCACTATACAAGCGTAATAGCCGCCTACGATAACGCGCTTTGAGTGTCATATTCCCATTGAATTTCAAACAATCACAAGAATTCAATCAGCTCATGTCTGAAAGCTTTTATGTTGCGTCAATATTCGCCAGCACATAAGTGTCCGAAGAGTAAGCAGATCAGCTACAGAATGTTGCTTTACAACCTCTTCGTTGTAAGTTGCATTCTTTGCGAATTTACATTAATGATTATGATCATTTCAGCTTTCGTCGGTCCTGCTTTCGTCAGGTCGTGATGTTATTCTCAACACCTATCTCAGATTGACTGATCTCGGATTGACTGAGTACAACAAACAAAATACAGAAAAGGAAAATGCTCTGCAGCAAAGTTTCGAAAAGTATTACAGAGAACACTGCAATGGGAATATACAGCTGGTTAGCGATAATTCATAACCTCGAATGCTGCTTTAAACCTGCATGACTTAATCTAAAAGATCAAAATTTTTGCAGATTTGCATAAGTAATTATGAGTGGTGGAAAGATTATGAGTGAATGAGATACCCAAGCTTCTTGTAGAAAGCCCGCCTATGATAGCCCCAAAAACTTGCTTTCTGATCTCAAAACACATTGTCTTTATGAATCTATGCGAACATGTGGATTGCTATTACTCGCTGATATTGAAAACGGCTCAATAAATGCCGTTTCAGCAGTGCTGTGCAGCGCTAATTCGGGGATCCAAACCAAAAAATCGAATAAGAAATGAGATTTGATTCAAACAACAAATTGCACATATAGGAAAATCTCCTCGAGAACTTGGCAGTTGTACAAAAAGAGGCTATCTTGTTGCGGTTTGCGAAAATTGCTTGCATTTGAATTGAGAAATATAAGCTATTAAAAATCTGACTTGCACGAGACTTTGGAGTGATTTTTACCGTTACACTAAATACCCTCAAAAGTTTATTGTTACTTTCTGTAATGAATTTCTTACAGCAGTACGATCGTTCGGTGTATAAATATCTCCATAACAATCTTTTTTGGTGGACCAGAGTTTATCCTACAGCTCGTATATTCTACTCGTTTATGTGAGTTGTGCGGACCAGCTTGTCACTCTCAATTTCGTTTTATGAAAAGTTTGAACTTCAGCAGCAAATGGCCAAGAACGGAAAAAACTTGGTTCCAAATAGGAGAGGAGCACGTCAATTTCATCACTAAGTACCACCGTTCTGGTAACACGAATGAAACCTGCCAGGTAAGCAAGTTTGATAGTAAGGCGCTGAATGAATTATTATTATTATGAGTTTCCATTCTGAATCTGAAATATGTGTTTTGTTGAAACAGGCGAATAGTGTCGTGTACTGTATATGCCACACTAAAATTTGAAGTTTAAAGGCAGCGGCTCGGCAGATTCTCGACTTGAAATTTTTTGCATACGTGGGGGTAATTCGATTCGCTGATTCCGAAAATCCACATTGAAGAGCGCGAAAATAGCAAAAACCACCATTTCCCAAGGCTTCCCGTTTTGAATTCGGACGAGTGGAGCCCGTCCCGCCATGGTTAGAGGGGCAGAATCGTTGCGGGACCCACGCTGTTATAACGTTGTGGCATGCCTCCTCTGACGGGGCAGGGAGAATCGCAAGCTCGTCCGCGCGTATTAGAATGGCTTGCGCGTAACGGTTTTAGGTGGCGTTTTTGCCATTTTCGCGCTCTTCAATGTGGATTTTCGGAATCAGCACCCCGACTTACTCCAGGTAACCAAAAAACTGCAAGTCGAGAATCTGCCGAGCCGCTGCCTTTAAGAGGCAACAAAAAACCATAATAAAAAAGCTTCAATACTGAATTACTGCTTCAGGTTGCGTGAGGGAACTTACATACCAGGATATCTCGCCGCCGCGTAGTTAGCAAAGTCCGTGAGAGGTCATGAACTGGCAGCAGTTCTAATTTGCACTCATTTAACACCGAGGAGAGCTAATTCTGCCCACGGTAACTTGGCCGTCATCCCACATCTTATGAGAGGGCGATTTTATTGAAATTTTGAACTTGGGGTTCAGTAATGAATTTTGTCTAATAGGGGTAACAATTTGTATTTGGAAGATTAGGTCGTTTCGAAGGTAATGTCGCTTTATTCAAGCCAACGCTACATTTCGTGGAAGCAAGATCTCTAGGAGATCTTGGTAGCATTCGATGCAGCATATCATTCTCCTTCTCATGATTATATGAGCTTTGCACAATATTTGATAAGCAAAAAAATTACCAAAATCTGCGACCCATGCTTTATGAGAAGATCAAATTTCACGGGTTCCCTAAATTTTTGCAACAATCCTCTAAAGGAGTCCAAGTAGCAGGTGGATTGAGCAAACCCTATACGAAACAGCACAATTTTTTTCTACTTTCCGTAGCTCGTCATAATTTTGTAGAGATTTTTCAATGGAACATCTTTGGGGAATCAGCACAAAAATATAGAAAAATAGCGGAGCTTGACCATGACAGAAAGAATGGGCCGCAGGTTTTGGTAATTTTTTGAGAACTCGTTAATATTATGGAATAAAATCAGAATTATTAGAAAGAGGACAAATTGGTTCCACGAAATGTGGCGTTCATTTGAAAAGTTTTCTATGACGCGTTTCCGAATACTCTAATGGTCTTGTCGAAACCCTTTAGATTTCTTTTCAAAATCTCATCTTCTTCAAGAAAATTTCATTGGAATTCGTATATATTCGCGGATTTTTCTGTCATGCTGCTTCCGAAAATGATAGTGGTTTCACTTGCAAACCTTTGAATTTTCGGGTTTCACCCATCTTCTTCACAGATTTACTGCAAGGTTGGTAAACTACTGATAACGAAGACAAACTCACAAATCCTTCAAATTTTGAAATATCCGTCCCTCAGTTATCAAGTATCTCGGAATTTTTTAGGGATTTGAGTAAAACCACCAGCATATCGAAAATGGTACGATAAAAAAAGCCCTCGTCACTATCTTCATATTTGCAGGGATGCGAGAAAGGTTTTTTGAAAAGAAAAAAATCCAAGGTTTCAAGCGTAACCATTATCGCATTCGGAAGCAGGTTGGCAGAAAACGCCTACGAATTAGATCTACCAAGACTTTATGAAAATTTTCTAAAGAAGTCGGAATTTTGAAAGAAAAATTTGATCTAAGCAAAATCATCAACGTAATCGTAAAAAGCGTTAAAGAAAACCTTCGAATAACAATTTTGGAGTTTTTTGACGGAAAATCTGCGAAAACAAGTTCAAAATCAAAAAGAAAAGGATTACCAAGCTTAACGAAACCACCATCATAATCAAAAACAGCATGACAAAGTACCTCCAAATACAAATTTTTATGCTTATTGGACAAGATTCACGACTGAACTTCAAGTTTGAAATTTCTGTAGAATCCCCGGTCTCACAAAGTGTAGAATGATGGAGGAGTTACCGTGTGCAGATTTCCTCGGTGCTTATTGAATGCAAATTAGAACTGCTGCTAGTTCATGACCTCTCATGAATTGTGCTAACCGTGGCGGAAGCCTATCCGGTATGTATTAGGGTGTCTCATAATTTTTTGCCGTTTTTTACTACATCCGCCGTCTTTCTGTATCTTTCATTCACTGATATGGCTTGGGTACTCATCAAATAAGGCAACGCAAGCTTCACAAGATGGCTGTCGAAAATCTGGCCGAATCGTATTCCACAAGTTTTGAAAATCTGAGAGCATCAGAAACGAACTTCACTGTCAAAAATCGTATCTCAGCCCTCAAAAATCTAAACAATGCTCCGTTTATCCTAGCATATGCTTGACACATCGCATGTCCAAATGTACGATTTCCGAATTTTTTTCTGGCTAGAAATAAAGAAAAAATGAATGAAGTAAAATGGCAAATTCTGCCCCTAGATGTCCCTAAATCTCCATCCCACGTACGTGATTATGTAGCTCATACACACAGACACAATCGTGTATTTGTACCCCTCGTAAATGCATTAGTTTTCGAGAAATGCTGATGTTTAAGGTACAAACGGTAAAGAATTATGATAATAAGTTCCATTCCCTCATAAGTTCCGTTCCCCCTTCAGGTCTCGTTTGAACTAAGTGAGAATTTCAGATGCTCAGTGAGCGTACTAAGTTTGTCTGTCAAGCTTACACATATACATGGACGGGTATTTGGCTCTACTGCGCATTCGTTCTTCCAAATGGTTAATAGATATTATCAATTTTGTGTTTCACTTTACAAAAACATTTATGTAGTATACTTTGGTATCAAGTGAAGTTCTGCGTTTTTGAAAAAGACATTCAATTACACTAGGCTGGCACGAAAGTTCTGCCGCTTCTTTTTCAAAAATTCATGCCTTCCAGTTTTTCTGACCATTGAAAAAGTAAATATGCTTTTTCTAACAATATTTTAGCGGCTCTCTACTTTTCATTGCATAAATAGAAACGATAGAAGAAATCTACTCAAAATTTGATTTTCTGAGTTTTGTCGTAAAAAGCTGAAACTTGCGTAAGATCCGGAGAAGTCGGTATCACAAGTTTGAGAGCAAAATTTGTGCTGGTTGAACGTTTCTGTGAAAAAGTATGACTTTTGAAACGAAAGCCAAAAGAATTGAATATGTTGTTTTGTTTGATTGCTTCAAAAATCATAACTATTGGTAGAGACGTTTAATTGGCATAAACTTCTGCGAAAAAACAAGTAGTAAAACCTCGACTTCATTTTCATTGCAAGTTTCAGATTTTTACGAACAAAGGAAAATCAGAATATATAAAATTCTATTCTATCGCTTGTATGCGAAGATACTTACAAGGAGAGGATACTTAGTCGAAAGCACCAACCAAGATGAGACACATATATCCTTAAAGCACTTGAAACGCTGATTCCAAATCTGTAGTTTTTAGCAGCGGAGCGGTTTTGTAGAAGGAGTTATGAGGGTGTTTCCCTTTGGGGTTGAGGCGCCCTCCAGCAGATCCCCCCCCCCCCCCTATCAATGAGCACTGTAGAGGAGTACCAACTGGTGGCAATTAAGCTGGTGGTAAGTGCCTTGCTTGATAAAGAGAAGGTGTCAAGGTTTTACTTCCCTTCGCACGCAACTTTATCGCAATTCTTGAGCTTTAAAATGGCTCTAGAGCCCTAAAGCCTGAAATTTCGGACGATATTGATGCTAGTTGAAATTGGAAGTGTTAGAAAATTAAAGTAATACGAGTATTATGATCCTTAATGTAATCTTCATTCAAATTACTTACCACTAGCCAGTTGCTACCAGTTGGTGCCAGTAGGGTAAGGAGAGATCTGCTGGAGGGCGCCTCAACCCCAAAGGGAAACAACCCTAATAACTCCTTCTACAAAACAGCTCCGCTGCTATATACTACAGATTCGGAATCAGCGTTTTAAGCGCTTCAAGATGATATGTGTCTCATCTGGATTGGTGCTTTCGACTAAGTATCCTCTCCTTGTTAGCAGAAAGCAGCTGAATTACGGTTATGGAGAACGTGGTTCGCTCTTTCACTAAAAGTGAAGCGAACAAATCGGTTGAGAAAACCAAAAATTATGATTTAAAAATGCTGCAGCAGAACTCGTGCCAACTTATACAACACCGCTCACAAATGTGCAAAATGTGTTTAAGTGTATTTGTCTTCTCTTTTTGCATTTTTGTATTTTTGTATTTTTGTATTTTTAATTTTTTGTATTTTCAGAATGTATCTTTTTGCATTCTTGTATTTTTGTATTTTTGCACTTGTATTTTTGTATTTTTTATTTTTTGTATTTTTTCAGAATGTATTTGTATTCAAAATTGAAACCAAGAGTCAATTTTCGAATAAAACTTGAAATTCGGATTGTTGATGAAGCGCTTTTTGAACGAAAAATATTCGGATGTCTTAGCAGGGAACGATACTTGGTTACCCTTGCCATTCACAATGATTTGTATGTCAAAAAATGCGCCTTTCAATGCTGGTTGGAATACTGTTTTCTATATCTGCGAAACGAGAACCTGGATTGAGTTATTATTATTTTTTCAAAAATGAATTGCGCTACGGCGAAGGGTGAAAATCTTATATATAAAGCTGAATGTCTGTTTGTCTGTCTGTATGTATGTACAGTGACCGCCAAAAAGTTGCGGACAAGCCGCCTTCCTTTTTTCATCGCTCATTTTCGGATGGAAAACAAAGATGAAAAAATGTTTAGATTGCATAAGGTGGTAGAGTTTTTCAAGAGCTACAACACACACATTGTGCTTTCTGGAAAACATGCATTTTTAAAATTTTAAAATCTTTTTCTAAGAAGAGTCCGAAAATGGCCGCGTCACAATGTCGCGGACAATAATTCTTCGAACGCGAAAATTTCCTTTTGGGTCCTATTTTTGAGTGGAAACACAAGTAATCCGAACAGGTAAGCATACTACATTATAGAGCTCATCGAGGACAATAATCAGGTAGTGGTTATTTCTAAATAAACCCAAACTTAAATTTTATTTTGCTTTGTTTCAAAAAATTACTTCTAACTCCCTTTTTCAAGCCAAATTTCTTCACATGTAAACCTATTCAAGACATCCTAACAAAGCTGTTCGACTAAAATGGATGCTTTTTGCCATCCTCTATGCATCGGACGTGCACTGGTGAGTTTCTTTGCTGAAAATGGCTCTTGGTAGTGCGTGCACACCCCACCTGCATCTCACCACTGAATTGCACCGCTTTACAGGCTTGTGGCTCGGTCGGTAGTCACTCTACGAGCCTGCAAGTAGGCTCATTCGAAAGAACGTGACTTTCTCTACACGATGGTATGCAAAAGAGTTCAGTTTCAGGAATAACAGAGATTTGGCGGATGGGGTGACAGAGCGCAGCCTTAGAGGTGATTGGAGTGAAGGCTCTTATCAACGCCAGAACAGTCTTAGAGCTCCAAAATGGATCAGTTACATATAAATTGACGGTTTTGAACTTCTAGAATGGAAGTAGTAGCGAAAGGAGCTTCTGCTGAAAAATCATTGCCATACCACAGAAGCTGCGCTCTGTCACCCCATCCGCCAAATCTCTGTTATTCCTGAAACTGAACTCGTTTGCATACCATCGTGTAGAGAAAGTCACGCTCTTTCGAATGAGCCTACTTGCAGGCTCGTAGAATGACTATCGACCGAGCTACAACCCTGCAAAGCGGTGCAATTCAGTGGTGAGATGCACGTGGGGTTATGTGCACGCACTGCCAAGAGCCATTTTCAGCAAAGAAACTCACCAACACACGTTCGATGCATACAGAATGGCAAAAAGCATTTATTTTAGTCGAACAGCTTTGTTAGGATGTCTTGAATAGGTTTACATGTGAAGAAATTTGGCTCGAAAAAGGGAATTAGAAGTTATTTTTTGAAAAAAGGCAAAATAAAATTTAAGTTTGGGTTTTTTTAGAAATAACCACTACCTGATTATTGTCCTCGATGAGCTCTATAATGTAGTATGCTTACCTGTTCGGATTACTTGTGTTTCCACTCAAAAATAGGACCCAAAAGGAAATTTTCGCGTTCGAAGACTTATTGTCCGCGACATTGTGACGCGGCCATTTTCAGACTCTTCTTAGAAAAAGATTTTAAAATTTTTAAAATGCATGTTTTTCAGAAAGCACAATGTGTGGTTGTAGCTCTTGAAGAGCTCTATCACCTCATGCAATCCAAACATTTTTCCTTTTTTGTTTTCCATCCGAAAATGAGCGATGAAAAATGGAAGGCGGCTTGTCCGCAACTTTTTGGCGGTCACTGTATGTATGTCTGTGTGTACGTATGTTCCGAATAGAAAATTCCATTTCTGAAACGATCTGGATCAAACTTGGCACACATACACTTCGGGCCCCGGCGGGTATCATAGGCTACTTTTCATCATCGATCGATATCGATTTTATCGATTTTTTGCAAAATTTGAGCTACGGGGCTGGGAGTTGGCATAAAGGGGTAATCGAGCATGCTGATTACGAATATAATAATGACAGGGCCGGGGCGGAGCCGGGTAAGTCAACTAGTCATTAATAAAATTTTTTCTTTCCTCTTCAAATGTTAAATATTGTTCAGATAGGTATAAATACAACGCAACACCTTTCAAGATTCTTCTCAATAGCTTCAAACGGTAAAATAGATCAAATTGGATGATTTTAACTACCTAAAAGTACGCAAACTTTCTACGAAAAAAGGTTCATGATTGCCTTCAAATGATCGTTTCGCAGATTTCGAGCACAGATTTAGAATCAGCGTTTCGAGATGCACCTTACGGTATACATCGCATTCCACATGGGCGGGGTCACCAAGTATCGTTTCCTTGTTAGTCAGAAGTTTTATTCGAACTCGTATTCGAATTCGTAAGGAAGCCAACAGAGCTGCTCAGCTTCGATTGCAAGCGCCAAATGTCCAAGGGACTTCTTTTCTCTCACATCATTGGGAACCAGAGGCCCATGCACACCACATATTGCATTCTTCTTTCAAACCTGTTTAACTGTTGTGGCAATTCTCCTTTTTGGTTACCAGAAGAACTTTTCAAGCAAAGTATAGAGATTTACTATTTTGATTGTTCTATCATTACTTTGTTAGCTTCAACAAAAAACAAGTGATGTTTTGCCATTGTACATAGTAGATGACAACATTAGATTGTAAGCACATCCTTACAAAGGCGATATCGAATCGAATATAACCTTTGATTCAACTGGCTTGGCTTCGGGAAGGCGGGGCTTTGTGGCGTAATTAAGGCCGCTTGCGCCCGCGACGCACCTGCCTCTCTCTCGCGCGGGTGCTCTCTGCTCACTAGCTAGCCTTAATTAAGTCACGGAGCCCCGCCTTCACAATGCCAAACCAGTTAAATCAAATGATACCCGGGGTCGCGCGGGGGGCCAGGCGCGCCCGGCCTGTTGGGTAGTATGGAGGGGGGGGGGGATCGTAATCAAGACGAAGTTGTTCAAAAGATTGAGGAGATATAACGATCGAGTAAGGTTAGGAAGAGAAGTGCTAGACTGGTGAATATCATCACAACTGCCCCAGAGGAGGATGACTGCTGTGAACAGCATATTGATTAACACCACTAACGGAGTCTCAATCAAATTTCAGCTTTTCATCTCTTACCGTACAAATATGTACCCCATAAGGTCACTAAAGAAGCTTGTCGCGTGAATTGGGGTTTTACCATGTCAAGTAACCTGTATGCGTACCACAAACATAATACGTTTTCTAGTGTTTTCTGACG